CCGGGACCCGCCTCTGCCCGCCGCCCCCGCCGCTCGCCCGGCCCCCGCGCCGGGGCTGGTGGCGGGGCAGCAGCCGGCGGAGACGCCGAGGGACCGGCGAGGGGACAGGGAGGAGCTGTCAGCCGGGGCTCGGGGACAGGGACGGGCGGGCAGGGAGAGCGGCACCGCGGGGAGGGGACGGCAGGGGACACAGAGCGGGGGGACACGGAGAGCCGTGGAATACTGAGAACCGAGGAGACACCGAGAGAGAGCGGCGGGGACAGGCGGCTACCGCACAGGAACGCATCGGTAGGGGCTCTGTGCCCGCTCTCTGCCCACTGTCGGTCCTCACCCTGCCCCAGGCTCGATGCGGGCCGGCGCTGGCCATGGAGAAGCTGTACCTGGCGGGGAGCAGCACCTGGATCATCAACAGCTCCCTGGGGAACGGCAGCCTCCGGCTGGAGAACCTGAGCGCCGGCAGGAACAGCACCACCGACCCCCTGAAGAGGAACGAGGACATGGCCAAGGTGGAGGTGACAGTGCTGTGCCTCATCCTGTTCCTCGCCCTGACCGGCAACCTGTGCGTGCTGCTGGCCATCCACACCACCCGCCACAAGCACTCCCGCATGTACTTCTTCATGAAGCACCTGAGCATCGCTGACCTGGTCGTGGCCATCTTCCAGGTGCTGCCCCAGCTCATCTGGGACATCACCTTCAGGTTCTACGGGCCAGACTTCCTCTGCCGCTTGATCAAGTACTTGCAGGTCGTGGGAATGTTTGCTTCCACCTACATGCTCCTGCTGATGTCCCTGGACCGCTGCTTGGCCATCTGCCAGCCCCTGAGGTCCCTGCACAGGAGAGCTGACCGGGTCTCTGTCCTCCTCACCTGGCTGCTGTGCCTGCTGGTCAGCATCCCGCAGATCCACATATTTTCTCTAAGGGATGTGGGGAATGGGGTTTATGACTGTTGGGCAGATTTCATCCAGCCCTGGGGACCGAAAGCCTATGTTACCTGGATCACCCTCATGGTCTATATCATCCCTGTGTTGATGCTGAGCATCTGCTATGGCTTAATCAGCTTCAAAATCTGGCAGAACGTGAAGCTGAAGACGGCTCACGGGCCCAGCGTGGGGCTGGGCTCGGGCTCCCGCAGCGGGACGGTGTTTGCCAGGGTCAGCAGCACCAAGCTCATCTCCAAAGCCAAGATCCGGACAGTCAAAATGACCTTTATCATCGTGCTGGCCTTCATAGTGTGCTGGACTCCCTTCTTCTTCGTGCAGATGTGGTCTGTGTGGGACACCAACGCCCCGCAGGAAGGTACAGCTCCCCTCCCTCGCCCTGCTGCGCTTGGCCGGCTCCGCTCGGCGCCCCAGGGACACCCCAGGGAAACTGCTCCGGGCTGGGCTGGGGGGTGGGAGGGAGATGGGAGAAGGTCCTGAGCACAGAAAGCCCCCACAGGCAGCAGTGGCTGAGCCGCAGCTTTCCCGGGCCAAGGGCTGCCGTGGCTCTGGCAGACTCCGGGCCACTGCGGCTCAGGGCAGTGCAGAGGGTGGTGGCTGTCCCTGGGTGCCACTGTCCCTGCATGGTGCCTGTCCCTGGGTGCTACTCTGGGGTCCCTGGAGATTCCCTTCCGACCCTGGCTGCTGGGACACGCTGCGGGTTGTGTGGGAGCTCAGGAGAAAGCTGCACAGCCTGAATTCCTTCCCTTTGTTGTATCGTTTCTTCCTCACTGACTTTTTGCTTTCTGCTCTTGGCCTCTTCTCCCTCTCCTGCTCCATCCGCCCCGGCACTGTGCTGCTGTTATTTTATCTCTGACTGGAGCACGGCTCCCGTAGAAAACCCCTGATTTATGAGCAAAACCTTTCCCTAAAGATGTGGTGTCACGGATTTACCATTTTTTAATATTTGGGCCAGCTGCTCCTGTTGTCCCTGAAGTTGCAGATAGAACAGAAAGTGTCACCCTCCCTGGTCTGACACTGCTGTGCTGTCCCCCGCCAGACGGGAGAACCACCTGGGAGACCTTAAACAAAAACTCCTCACGACTTTGTGAGGGGGGAGGAAAGGCAGAAAAGTGCACCCGGGGATGAGAGCGCCTTGCACAGGCTGAGCCGGGCTCACCAGGAGCGCGGGTGCCAAAGAGGAGGAGGAGGAGGAGCTGCTCGCTGCTCCCGGGCTGTCGCTGCTGGGCTCAGGGCAGCTGGCAGGGCACGGCTGCTCAGCCCAGCGCTGCCCTCGCCGAGCCCATCCCCATGGCACAGCCCCTGTGCCAGCCCAGCGCCCCGGAGCCCCATGCACCACGGCACAGCCCCTGTGCCAGCCCAGTGCCCCGGAGCCCCGTGCACCATGGCACAGCCCCTGTGCCAGCCCAGCTCCCCACAGCCCCTGTGCCAGCCCAGAGCTGCCCTCGCCGAGCCCATCCCTGCTGCACAGCCCCTGTGCCAGCCCAGCGCCCCGGAGCCCCGTGCACCACGGCACAGCCCCTGTGCCAGCCCAGCACTGTGCTCGCTGAGCCCATGCCCGTGGCACAGCCCCTGTGCCAGCCCAGAGCTGCCCTTGCCGAGCCCATCCTCATGGCACAGCCCCTGTGCCAGCCCAGCTCCCCACAGCGCCTGTGCCGGCCCAGCACTGCCAGGAGCCGCGGGCGAGCTTTGCCTCTCCTGCTTCTCCCTGCTCCACTGATTTCAGAAGTGCAATGTGCCTCACGCACCTCCCTGGCTGCTCCAGGGGTTTTCCACCTGATTTGGGCTGCTCAAAACTTCCAGTTCCGAGATGGGCTTGGGGGTGAAGCAGCAGCCCTCCCTCGTGCTGTATTTGAATCCTGCAATCTTGAGGGCTGCCCCTCCCTTCCCGGCACACAGCCTCGGCAGCACCCAAATCTCTGCTGCTGTGCTGACCCTCGATGGACAGGATTTGTCCATCCCAATCCTTCTGGCTGCAAAGGGAACCTTTCCCTTGCTCACCCTGTGCAGTAGGCCTTGCAGCACTTTTCCCTTTCCCTTTCCCTTTCCCTTCCCCTTTCCCTTTCCCCTTCCCTTTCCCTTTCCCTTCCCCTTTCCCTTTCCCCTTCCCTTTCCCTTTCCCTTCCCCTTTCCCTTTCCCCTTCCCTTTCCCTTTCCCTTCCCCTTTCCCTTTCCCCTTCCCTTTCCCTTTCCCTTTCCCTTTCCCTTTTCCCTTTTCCCTTTGTCGTCCCCTTTTCCTTTTCCCCTTTTCCCTTTCCCATTTTTCCTTTTCCCTTTTTTCTCCCCTTTTCCTTTTCCTTTTCCTTTTCCTTTTCCTTTTCCTTTTCCTTTTCCCCTTTTCCGTCCTTTTCCTTTTCCTTTTCCCTTTCCCTTTCCCTTTCCCTTTCCCTTTCCCTTTCCCTTTCCCTTTCCCTTTCCCTTTCCCTTTCCCTCCCCTTTTCCCTTTTCCCTTTTTTTTTCGCTTTTCCCTTTTCCTTTTCCATTTTCCCTTTTCCCTTTGTCCTCCCCTTTTCCTTTTCCCCTTTTCCCTTTTTCCTCCCCTTTTCCTTTTCCCCTTTTCCTTTCCCTTTTCCCTTTTCTTTCCCTTCCGTCTTTGCTTTAGGGCAGGAGGGATCTCCAGCCCTGCCAGGCTGTGCCACACTCCCACTCCCAGCTCTGTCACGTTCCTGTCTGCGGGCAGCCCGTGGCTCTGCACAGGGTGGCAGCTGTGCCAGGGCTATTGCTGGAGGCTTTCATGGCACGGGGAGAAAAAGCCTGGGGTGGGTACAAGCGCTGGGAGACCCCAGGCCTTCGTTCCAGGCTCTCCTCCTCCTTTCGGCTGCCCAGAGGCGTCAGGGGGCAGCACAGTCAGGTCTCTGCAGAGCACTCGGGCTCTGCCTGCACATTCCCACAGCCTTGCCCCGATCCCGGATCCCCTCCCGGTACCGGGGCTCGGGGGCTGTGGCCAGGCAGCAGGGTGGGCTGCAGGAGAGGTGTGCCCCGTGTTGGGAAGGGAATGTGGCCGTTCCTCCCCTCACTGCATGGGCACAGGACAAGGAGGGCAGGGGGTCCCTGGGTGCAGCAGCAAGGGGGGCACGACTGCAGCCCAGTGAGCTGCACTGGGGGTGACTGGCCAGGCAGCAGAGATCCCCCTTAGGAGGCCACACAGCCCAAAGCCTCTGTAAGGTGAGTGGGAGCTACACGTCGTGATCCAGGTTTGAGCACTGGGGACCCTCCCCAGGAGGCTCCTGCTGCACACACTTCACAGGGAACGCCTGCGGGACCGAGCTGGCAGCCAGAGCTGGCTCAAGGCGCCTGTGGGGACAGCACCACGGCTGCTGTACCACTCCCTTCACCCCGGGCAGGCTCCTACACGTGGCTGTGAGGGCAGCAGAGCCCCCAGAGCCCTGCGGGGGCACAGCCTGCACCCCTGCCCGCCCCTCAGCAGCGCCTGGGGACAGGGGCCATCCCCCAGGACACACTGGCTGGGTCAGCACCCCTCGGGGTCTCTGGTGCTCCAGCCAGGGATGGGAGAGATCCACCCTCCAGACCTGCCCTGCAGTAAGCTCCCTGAAATTCAATTTGCCTCCTGCAGAGAGGGAAGAGCTGAGTCAGCCCTGGCTGGGAATTTTCAAGAGTGTAGAAACACTGGGATGTATTTCAGTCTTGTGCCTGGGGTTTGTAACCCCTCTGCATGGAATTATTTTTTAGCATGTACTTGGAAAGAATTATTATTGAAATATTATTATTACTTGAAATTAATTATTATTTTTTAGAATATACTTGAAATTAAAAGTAGTTGGAGCAGATGTCACAAGAGCAGGGATTACGCATCCGTTGGCTAAAGTGAATTTGGAAGCTAGCATTTATAGTCACATTTCTTCACTGCTCTGAAAACTGCCAGTGGATTTTTGCAGAGGCACGAGGGGTCCAGGAACAGCCAAACCAGCCGTGTTCATCTCGCTGCTGGTGCGTCCTCTGGGAGCAAAGGGGCTGAGGAGATGAGCTGGAGCACAGGGAGCAGGACAAAGGCTCCATCCCACCTGCAGCCACCTCACGGAGCTGCCATGGCAGATGCCAGTCCCACCATCCCCTTGTCACCAGAAGGTGCCGGTCCAGCCTCTCAGGTGGGACAGTCGGTGCTTTGTGCTCTGGGGCCAGCAGCAGCCAGGGACTCGATGTCCTGGCACTGCACTGGCACTGTCCCCGGCACCGGGGGATGCCAGGCTCCCGGGCACTGGGAATGTCCTTCCCGGCAGAGAACTGTGTGGGGAAAACTAATTCGGGGGAAAGAAAGATGGCTGGAGAAAGGTGCTGGGAGAGCAGCGGGCAGAGGGCCGGGCTGGTGGGGCAGCCCAGGAGCAGGGGACACCCCGGCCCGTGCTGTCTCACAGCTCGAGCGGGGGAAGCCGAGAGCCTGTCCCAAACCAGCCGCTGCTGTGGCAGAACGAGCCACCTCCTCTGCCTGCTCCCAGAGCTGCTCTCGGCCATGGCAACCGCAAGGGCCGCGGTCCCTTGTCCTGCCTGGGGCACCTTGGGACGTGCAGGTTTTGCTGCGGGGCTGCTCTGCCTCCGGAGCGGGGAACGCAGCTTTTCCTGCGGGAAAAGCCAAAACCCGAGATGCTGGAGCTGGGGCTCGCCCTCTCTCTCCCGGCAGCAGCTCTCTTTCCCCAGATGCTGGAGCTGGGGCTCTCTCTCTCCCTCCCGGCAGCAGCTCTCCTTCCCCAGATGCTGGAATTGATGCTCTCTCTCCCTCCCCGCAGCAGCTCTCCCTTCCCGTGCTGTTCCTGCGGGCTCATCCCTGCGGGCAGGGCTCTGGGATGCCGGCGGGGCTGGGGCTCGGGCAGGGGCCGTGTGCCGTGCCCTGACTCCGCCGTGCTCTGTCTCGCAGCCTCGCCCTTCATCATCGCCATGCTCCTGGCCAGCCTCAACAGCTGCTGCAACCCCTGGATCTACATGCTCTACACCGGGCACCTCTTCCACGACCTGATGCGCCGCTTCCTCTGCTGCTCCGCGCGATACCTGAAGTCGCGGCCGGCGTGCGAGCTGAGCAGGAAGAGCAACTCGTCCTCCTTCGTGCTCAGCTGCAGGGGCACCAGCCAGAGGAGCTTCGTGCAGCCGCCCACCCCGTGAGGCCGCCGCCAGCAGAGCCCGGTGCCGGTGCCGGTGCCGCGCTGCCGCCCGGTGCCCTGCGGAAAGCCGGGCCCGGACAGGGGGTCTGCAAACAGGTGTAAACAGGTGTACACACGGCTGTGGGCATGCACAGAGGGCGTCAGCCCTGCGAGACGCGAGTGGGGGAGGAATTCTGTGTCCAAGTCTCAGTGCTGCCCGGGATTAGACAGCAGGAGCCCGTTCCTGAGCCCAAACCCTGACTACAGTGGCTTATGGATGCCACCGAGAGGGACAAAGGACGCGGTGCTGCTGGGGCAGGCGCGATGGAAGGGGCTGCTGCAGCCCAGGGACATGGGTGTCACCCTGGTACGTGGCTGGGCACCGTCCCACCTCCTCCTGCAGCAGGATCCTGCGGGATGGCAGCGCCTGGCACCGCGCTCTCCGCAGAGAAGCGCTCGCTTCCCTTGCAGCCTGTGGGGCGGAGGCAGCCCCGTCCCTGCAGCTCTGCAGCTCTGCAGCCCTGCATCATGCCAGACCCGGAGCCCTGCAGCTCTGCCCTATGCCAGCCCTGCACCCTGCCAGCCCTGCCAGCCCTGAAGTCCTGCAGCCCTGCACCATGCCAGCCCTGTCCCTGCAGCCCTGCAGCCCTACATCATGCCAGCCCTGCATCATGCCAGCCCTGCAGCCTTGCACTCTTGCAGCCCTGCACCCTGCAGCCCTGCTCCCCCTGCCTGGGGCACAGACAAGGGCACTCCTGAGGTCAGCAGGGATCAGCCTCGAAGGGACAGCGCTGTGGCCCGGGTGTCCCCAGCCCAGCTGTGTGCCCTGTGCCCAGTGAGGCTGGGCAGACGGCTGCCAGGAGCCTGGGGCACGGCGGGGCCGGGATCCGGGCAGTGCCCCGGCCGGGAGTGCTGAGCAGCCTCTGCCCGGGCTGTGTGGGGTCCGGGCGGGCCCAGCTCCCACCGGGACACTCCTGTCAGCCCCCAGCCAGGCTTGGCTCTGGCTCACCGCCGGTGCCAGCAAGGCTCCCACCGCTCCGTGCCAGCCGCTTGCTCCGTGGCACAGGGCACGCTCACGGCATGGATTTTTATTGCTAACAAATACTGTAAATAAAGTTTTCTGACTGTGTCTGTGGAAGTGGGGGGAGGCGTGGGGGGAGCTGGGCTGAGGGGTTGAAGGGGATGGGTGAGAGCACCCAAAGCCCCCGGGCAGGAGCTGCCCCAGCGCACAGAGCTGGCTGCGGCACGGGCACTGCAGGGGAAACAGCTGGGCTCGCAAAGGGTGATGTCATTTGGCCTTTCATGATGGGAATGAACATGAAAAACGCATTTAAATGTGTTCTTTATTTCTTCACTGTGGCCAGCAGGCCCATTTGCACCTTTCCTATCCTGAATTTCCTTTGATTTTTTGTGGCAGCTCCAAGTGAGCTCTCAGCACATTTGCTGACTGGACACCAGTGCTCGGGACACCATGGAGCATTTTCTTCCCACATTCACCTTTTCTCCAGAGTCACAAACTCCTGCACAAAACAAGGAAGGAGGGGTCTCCCTTCCTGGAGAGTGTGAGGTGCATCCCCCCGGCCAGGGAGGAACGAGGGCAGGGCCGTGGATGTCACTGGGTGGAGGCACGGAGAAGGGAGGGAGCTGTGGGGCACACAGGGAATTGCCCTCCAGCCCCGGCTGCAGCTTCTGGAGGTGTCTGGGGGCCGGGCAGGGCCATGCCCCACGCCTGGAGCTGCTGCAGCAGAGCGGGGCCGTGGCTGAGCTCCTGCGCCGGCCCCAGGCTGCGGCAGAGCCGGGAGCGCCCCGGGGAATGCTCTGCCAAAAGCTTTTCAGGAGGGCAAAAAGTGAGACACAGGTGCTGGCAGGTGAGCAGCGTGTGCCCCAGGTGTTGGGAGCCCAGGGAGCAATGTGGTGGGGACATCAGCACTTCAGGGTTTTTTGGGTTCAGGCAGTGAACTACTACAACAACAACAAGAAGAAGTAGTATAAGCCCGTTATACAATTGATTTCAATTATTTTTATTCTCACAAAAAATGAAGGTTTTTTTGAGACTTTCCCCCCCCTCCCTGTAATTACCTAAATATAATTTTTTTTTTTAATCACTCCATCCCTCTTGGGCCCTGCTGTTGCTGGAGCTTGGGTACCACATTGCTATGGAATACCAGCAGTATACATTCCCAAGCTCTTGGAAGAGCTCCAGCAGAAATCCTGGCTCTTTCTCATCCTTGGCATGGCACTAGAGGAGTCTTTGGCTCCAAGTCTTTGTTGGAATCCAAGGGGAAGGCTCACATGGAGACAATTGAGAGCAGCCTCTGAACAAGGAGACCTCCTGGGCCCTGGTTCAGCAAAGCACTTAAGGCTGGAGCCAAAAAAGCGTTCAAGGGCCTCAAAGTGAAAGTGCAGCTCCGTGGAAGAGGGACCGACCAATTAACTGACAGTACAGGGCAGGAAACAGCTCCGAGCTGCTCCTCGCGGCCCTGTCTCCCCTCTCCCTGCGGCCGCAGGGTCCCGGCACAGGCTCGCTCTGCCGCTCTCCCCATCCCTGGGGCAGCCCCGGGTGCTGAGGGAGGGGCCCGGCTGGACGGGAGCCCCCTCCTGCTGGCAGAGCCGGGGGATCAGCACGGTCCTGCCCCTCCTGCATCCCAGGAGAGCGCGCAGGGACAGCCCTGGGACACACACCCTGCTGCGGCTGCAGCTGACTCGGCACCGGCTGAACGCGTGTCTGGCGGAGATTGTCCAGAGGATCCAGCCCAGGCCTGGCTTAGAGCCCAGCCTGTCTCAGCTGAGGTTCCCCAAAGCTCCGTGTCCCACCTGCGCTGTCCTGCCCTGGATCCTGCCCACGGCACTTTGATGCTCCACAATTAAGTACACAATCGAGCATGGAAGTGCCACGGGCGGGTTTGCAGCTGGCGGTGGCCCAGGGTCAGCTCACGCTCTCGGAGCAGACACAACATGTCAAGCATGGACTGCTCTGGCTCCCACAGCTTGGCTGAAATGCAAGTAGGCATGAAAAACGTTTGCTTTAGATATTCTATCCCTAAAACCTTTGTGCAGCGGTTTAATGCACAAGCTCCCACCACAGCAGAAGCTCCCACCACACACAATAACTCCTGTGGGGGAGTTTCTGCCAGCCCAGCCCAGCCCGGAGGGATGCAGGAGCAGCAGGCTCTGGGCCGTGGCCAGCAGCAGCTCTGCAGCCCCGCTGCTCAGCCGGCACTGCAGGCTGTGCTGCAGGAGCTGCTGCAGGAGCTGCTGCAGGAGCTCAGGGCCTGCAGGGCACAGGGGGCTCTGGGCTGCTCCCTGGGCCACGATGGGCTTCCTTCTCCTAAGGCTTCTGGCTTTGGGATGGAGTAAGAAGCAGCCTGGCCTGCCTCAGTGAGCATCCCTGAGAGCCAGCCCTGCTGTGGGGCCCTGCCACGGTGCTGGGCTCCTGCACCACAGGGTCCGTGTGGGGCCCTCACGGGACAGGGGTGTCCATGTGCAGATCCCTCACAGGACAGGGGTGTCTGTGTGCCCAAGGGCAGGCAGCCTGCACAGAAGGGGCTGTGTGAGGGTGCTGGGGCAGCTGCCAGGACCTAAATCTCCTTCCGGACAGCAACTCGGACGTTGCTGCAGATCTTGGCGAGCGCCTCAAAGAGCGGGTCACAGAAGGTGTGGATGCAGAGGGAGTAGATCCTGCTGACGCACTGGATCTCGATCAGGTAGCTCTTGATGCAGGGCACCACTGCCCAGATGTGGCAGAAGGAGATGAGGGCGAAGAGGAAGCCCCAGACGACGGCCAGGGGCACGCCCAGGAGGGCAGAGAGCAGCCGGTAGCACCAGTACTTGCTGACGGTGAAGGTGGTGTAGCTGCTTTTCCAGACGCCGTCGAAGCTGTAAGTTCCCACGGGCTCAGCTATCACATCCTCAAAATCCACCTGGGAGGACACAGGGGAGGTCTGGGGGTCAGCAAAGGCCCTGAAGTGAGCACGAGGGTCTGCACGAGGGGAGAGCAGATCCCAAATGGAGGGGCCTGGGGAGGGTGGGGACAGTGCTGGATCCCTGCAGCCCCGGGCAGGGACAGCCCTGCAGAGCTGGCTCAGGGCTCCCAGCCACAGCCACAGCAGAGGGGTGGCTCAGCCCACGGCCACACGGGGGGTCACAGTCCCTGTCCCATCCCTGATCTGGGGAGTCAGGTGAGGCCGGGCAGGAGCCCTTGGAACAGGAGCTGTGCGTGGGAGTGTTGGCTGCAGAGGCACCCAGAGCCCATTCCTGCCCTTTTTTAGATTCAGGGACGTGGCTGCCCACTCGGCAGGAAGGTGTTTGTGCCAATAACGACCCAGCAGCCCTCTGGATTTATGGATTCTTTATTTATACCCATAGGATGATGTGCTCAGTGCTGTCTGTCCATGCTCCCCCTGGGGAGGGAGCTGGGGCTCAGCCCTGCCCTTGCCACTTGTGCAGGCACTGGGAGTGTCTCTGAGTGACACACACTCCCCAAAACTGCACACAGAGATCCCCTTGGGGTGTAACTCACTTGCAGGGAATATATGAGCTGAGCTATTTGTCTTGAAAACCAGCCCGGCCTCCCCTCCGGCAGCTGACGTGTCTGTACATTCATGTTAAACAACAATATTCGTTCTGCTTTTGGAAGCACTTGGATCACAAAATCACTCTGTGTCATCTTTAATTTCCTGCAGTGAGCAGGAGGTGCTGACAGAAGTATTGACAATGAGGAGCCAGCAGCCCCAGAGCTGGCCCTGAGGTGCCATCAGCAGCCCCCAGGAAGCCCAGGTGTGCTGGGGACTAGCCCAGGTTACTGCCCAACTGCCTGATGGGCTCATCAGGGATCCATTAATGCAGGGAGCAGTGGGATATAAAGGCAGGGGCTCTGGCCCATTGCTCCTCCTGCTGCCGTGGCACGGGGAGGAGCCGTGGGGGCTCAGGCTGAGTCTGGATGCTGCTGGGGGTGCTCAGGGAGCAGCTCTGCAGGTACTGCTCCTTTACAGAGCCACGTTTCCCTTTAGGCTGGGAAAGCTCCCCGAAGGTCTCCCAGTGCAGCCGTGCACTGCTGAGGTGCTGTGCTCCAGGGGCTTTGGGAAAGGCTCTGTGACATGAGCCCGGATTCTGGCTCTGTGATGCTCGGGGTGTGCAGCAGGCCAGGTGAGCCCTTCCTCCCGCGGAGCATGGCAGCTCCTGCTGCCCGAGCCTCCAGAGCCCTCCTGCTGCCGTGCCCTGGGTGCTGGGCTGTGCTGGGCTCTCCTGGGGACAGAGCAGGGTGAGCTGTGCTCCTGCCCGCTGCCTCTGCCCTCCCTCCCCAGCCCTCTGGGGCTATTTTGGGGAGCAGGAACGCTGAGCTCTGGAGGCTCCCAGTGCTGCTGGAGCAGCAGCGTGGCCAGGCAGTGGGTGAGCTCGGAAGGTCTCGTCAGGCTCTGGAGATTTTGGAGTGGGACAGGCGGGGATGTGCTGGGGGCCCTGTGGCTGTCTGGGACGCTGCTGGCACTGCCACCCGGGAGTAGCTGGTGGGGCTCCCAGACTGGGCAGCCCCAGGGCGCTGCCTGGCCCTGGGGTGAGTGGGCTGGGGGCTCTGCTGGTCCCTGCTGCCAGGGCAGAGTGCTGCTCCCCTGGCACCTGCCCACGCCCCAGGGCTGGATGCCCTGGGCAGGGTGCTGGGCACGCTGCTGAGGTGTCAGGCAGCTGCCAGGGGCAGGGCTCACAGTGCCAGCAGAGAGCCCAGCGATGGCTGTCACTGTCACAGCTCATCCCAGGGAATTTCATTTGACCCCACCACGGTTGCAGCTGGAATGGTGTTTTCATGCCCAAATTGAGGTCTGTGTTTCAGCGGTGCTGTCAAGGTCACAGCCTGTAACAAAGCCTGTGTGAGCAGCTCTGTGCTGCTGTCCCTTCTGCTGTGACAGTCACAAACAGTTTTAACAAAACCCTTCCACCTCCTCCTGTTCTCCTTTGGGCTGGAACTAGCTTTGGCTAACAGAGACCAATATTGTTTGCAGTTCTAAGGGAGTCTAGAGGAAGCCCAAGAGTTAGAATGGGAATTCCTCTTGGTCAGAAATGGGGGGAGGGAGCTGGGGGCTGCTGCACCCCTGGGATGCCCTGGGGAGAGCAATCTTCCACAACCACAACAGCACACATCAAGCAACAGGTACTGACACTGGTGTCTTGAAGGTCACCAGCCTTTTCCCAATATCCCTTTAAAATGGTGATATTTAATTTCTGTGTTATTTTTGGCTGCCAGCTTGCTGGTGCAAAGGAAGGCGTCTCCATAAATTTTCAATGAAACTGGAGAGCCCATTCAAGGAACGGGAAACATGGCATTAACTGGAGCCAGGCGTGCCACCCAGCCAGTGTCTGGGTGCCCGGCCAGCAGGGCTGTCACCTCCCCCAGCCCTGGGGACGGCCCTGCTGGGGCCACATGGACAAGGACCACCAGCAGTGGCTGAGTGGGGCCAAACACACAGCAAGGTCTGACCCCAAATGCTGCAGGAGCACAGCCCTACCTTCACCACGTCCTCGTTGATGTGCTTGGGGTCTCTGTTGACCAGGTCGATCTCCTTGGTGTGCTGGTCCTTGACGATGATCCCCTCCAGCTCTCCGTGCTCCTCTGCCATGGCTGGGGCACTGGGCAGCGCCGGACCCCGACAGGGACAGGGACGCGCTGGCCCCGCCTGCAGCAGCTGCCCTGTGCCCCTGGCACTGCTCCAGGCTAAAATTAATGTCCTGGCTGCCGAGGCCGCCCTGAAGTGTCCCTTAAAGGGGCTTTCCTGGGGCCAGCCCCTGTGCTGTCACCTCAGGGGGATGGCATGTGTGTGGGCGGCTGGTGGCCTTTGAGCCAGGGCAGGGGTGGGCGTGCAGCCCCCCAGCCCAGCTGTGCTGGTGGGAGCTCACCCTCGTGTGGGACAAACAATGCCCAAATTGGGGCAGAAGGTCTCAAAAGCCTAAAAGAAATTGTTGTTTGTGAATCTTTTGTAAGGTTTGTTGTTTGTAAATGAAGCAGCTCGGGGATTTGGGAATCATGTCTATAAATATCACCCAGAGAAGCCACATTGTCCTGGGGTGGCCAGAGCTCCTCAGGGCTGTTCAGAGGTGCCTTGCTGGATTCCTCAGGCTCCAGCTTCTCACCCACAAAAACTCGAGGAAATCCAAGACCAGCCCACAGAACCACAGTGGCTGGAATATCTCCTCCAGGGATCTTAGTTAAGATTTATTTAACCTGGGCTGTACTTTGCTAATCCTCCCCAGTGTCTCCTGTGAGCTCCTGCCTTTCATGACCTGCTGATTTGTTTAAAAGTGCTGGTTTTGTGAAAAAGCACTTTACAAAACAGGGGTTTTGTCACCCCCCTGGCAGCTCCCTGCGGAGGAGCCCACGCAGGAGCTGCATGTGGAAGTGCCCCTGCAGAGCCCACGGGCACGGCTGGCACTGCAGGACAGGCATTTTAAGGCAAAGGGCTCTGCTGCCTTCCAAAAGCACCAGTGCCTGGGCAGGGCTGCTCTTGCCAAGCCCCTGTGGCCCCGTGCCTGGAGCTGCAGTGGCCAGGGTGGTGGCCTGGCTGTGACACAGCCCTGGCTGAGGCTGGGGTGGTGCAGCCTGGCAGAGACCTCCCTGGGACAGAGAGCGCAGAGCTGGGGCTGTGAGCCCACAGGATCCTGCAAAGACACACCAGGCACCTGTGGACAGGGCAAACTCTGGAAGGGGCTCTGAGCGAGGCGCTGGGAGTGTAAATCTGGCAGGGTGCTTCTGGAGAGCAGTGCCCATCAATGTGCCCCTTCTGGGCAAAGGGACACTGGGAAAGCCTTTGGTGGCACCAGTTCCACCTCCCTGCAGCTCTCTCTGCTGCCCCACAGAAGCTGGGAGACCCCAAACGCAGCACAGAGCAGTGCTGGAGGTGAAATCCTTCCACCCGCCGGGATTTTGGGCAGCAGCTCCAGGCTGCTTGGCCACGGCTGGATGGGGCAGCAGAGCTGCAGGGTGCTGGGGCAGGAGCAGCCGTGTCCCGTGCGAGGAGCGGGCTCTGCAGAGAGCACGGAGCTCCGCGGGCAGGGCTGGCCGGGGCCAGACCCGGGTTAGCAGGCACGGCTGCTGCCGTGCCGGCCGGGGCAGTGCCAGCGCGGCGTTTGGCGCTGATTCTCCTCGGCCAGTCCCACCTGGAGGGCTCGGCGTGCCTTGGTGCCCTGCCCTGGTGTCCCCAGCCGCCCCCGGGCTCTGCGGAGCGCGGCAGTGGCGCCTGCCCCGCCGGGTGGCATTTCTGGTGGCATTTCTGGTGGCATGAGTCACTCCTCGCCTTTAGGCTGTCCTGGGCCCGGCTGGCCCTGGTGTCCCAGCCCGCTGTGGTGTCCTGGTCGGCTCTGGTGTCCCGGCTGGCTCTGGTGTGCCGTCCCGCCCTGGCGTCCCCGCTCCGGTGGCAGGACGGGACCGCGCACGCAGGGAGCGGCAGCGGCAGGCAGCGAATGTCTCCAGCAGCCGGGAGAGGCACGGGAGGGTTCTGTGGCTGCTATAAATAAATGTATTTCCGAGTACTTTCAGGCTGTGCACGGGACACGGTGTGACAGTGGGCAGTCACACACGCGGGGCAGGGGAGGGCAGGGACACCTGCTCAGAGCTGCACAGATCTGCCCCAGATGGATGCCAGGGAAGGTTTGGTCACTGAGATCCAAAGCTTTCGTTGTGAGAACATTTGCTAGGAAAGCTGGTGACACGTTTTCTGCAGGAACAGGCAGCCACCACTGCCCCCACCCTCAGCAGCCCCCTGCGTGCTCTGGGGAGCAGATTGCCAGGACCTGGGCAGGCTGTAGGGCTGGGCATGGACCTGGAAGTCAGAAAAATAACCTGCTGCTAGGAGCCAGCAAGCCAAATAGATTTATTTCTCTTGAGCAGTGAAGAATGAAGCAGAAATAAAGCTCACTGAGATCAAAGTTCCTGTGAAAATGAACAGACCAGAACTGCAGTGAAGGAATAGTAAAGCAGGAGAAATTGGGAGTGTGGCTCTCCCCCTGCTAGCATCACTGAGGGACCCAGCCTTGCTGGGTTGTGCCAGAGCCCCTGGGTGAAAGCCTTGCCTTGGGCAGGGTCCTGGCCCTGCGAGGGGCACGGGGCTCCTGTGTTCAGGTGGTCCCTCCAGCACTGATGACACAGAGGCTGCTGAGGGCAGGGATGTGCTGGCATTAGCTCTCACAGGCAGCGGAAATCGTGGCTGGCAAAGACGAGTTTGAGCAGAAGCTCCGTCATGTTTAATATCAATTAAAATTAAATTTCACAGAGGAAGTACAGAAGAAGGGTAATTCATCATTCAAGCTGTTGTCCTAGTTTGTTTCTATACAAGGAGTTTGCCCTTTAAAACAGAGAGAAAGTCTGTGAATATCAGATTCATGCCCCTGTGACACACAGCCACCAATCTCTGCATCCTGGGCTCGTTGTAAGAGCTGCAGGGGATCCTGGGGGGATCCTGGTGGGATCCTGGGGGCTGCTGGTGCTGCCTCTCTGCAGGCAGGTAAGAGCTGGGGGGATCCTGTGGGCTGCTGGTGCTGCCCCTCCGCAGGCATGAGCCCATGGAGCAGGGTCGGGGCCGTGCCTGCCTGAGCCTCTCTGCAGGCATGAGCCCATGGAGCAGGGTCAGGGCTGTCCTTGTGGAAATCCTTCTTTATTTGTTCTTTTTGTAAGTTCTTTATTTCTCATGCAGCCCCCAGCGGAGGTCAGCTGTGACACCCTCGAGGCTGCATTTCATCCCATGGTCCATGATCAGCAGCTCTTCCTTCTGTCTTCATCTGACCTGTGAGCTTCTTTTTGCTCTGGGCACCTTTCTTGTGGGTCACAGGGATGCCAGGGGTGCATCAGCACCCCTCAGGTGAGCTGAGAGGAGATGGAGCCCACGGAGGCACCCAAGGGCTGTTTGATGGCCCTGGGTGCCACAGGAACCAGGGCAGCTGCTTCTCCTGGCATGGGCAGAGCCATTCCCTCTCACACAGGAGCTTCTGGCTCTGGGCTCAGCTGGGCTCCAAGGCTGCACAAATGCCTGTCCTGCTGGGTGTGGGGATGGATTTGTGCTGGGGATGGAGCAGCTGCCACCCCTCTGGAGGTGCTGGGGCTGAGCAGGGCTGGGGGTGTCTCCAGCAGTGGGGTCTCACCAGCCCCAGCCAGGCCGGGTGCTTCACAGCTCTGCCCTAGCAGTGCCAGGGCTGCGCTGGCTAAAACCAGCTCTGGCACCTCATGGGATGTTGCTGCTCCTCTGCTGAAGGCGCAGGACAGCTCTGGAGAGGCCTCTTGCCACTTGTGTTTGTGTCACCTCCTAATCTCAGCTCTTCTCTCTCACTGGCACTCTGAATTCCTATGGATTTTCATTTTAAAATAGCCTCTCTTGCCTTGGTTTATCACCTGTGACATAACCAGCGGGGTATTCTGAGATAAGCAGAGTTAACCAGTGGTGCTGCTGCTTAGAGCAGGGTCCCAGCCTGCCTTTGGCTGTCATTTACCCTGGTGGCGTTTGTTGTCTCCCGAGTCCAGAGTGGCAGCAGTGGAATGATGCTTTCCCTCCCAGCCAGGTGCCAGGGGCTGTGCCTGGCTGAGCTGAGCCCAGCTGAGCCCGGGGCTGTGCCTGGCTGAGCCGAGCCCAGCCGAGCCCGGGGCTGTGCCTGCCTGAGCCGAGCCCAGCTGAGCCCGGGGCTGTGCCTGCCTGCCCTGCCCTGCCAGGGGCTGCAGCCTCCCTGGGGATGCTGAGCAGAGGGTGCTGCCTTCTGGGTCCAGCTGGTTCTCCTCCCCTTTCTGCCCTGACTGGTCCAGAGGCCATTCCCCCTCCTACAGTGGCCAACACCAAGAGGAAGCATTACCTCTACTTTTTTTTTTTTTCATTTTAAAATAGCCTCTCTTGCCTTGGTTTATCACCTGTGACATAACCAGCGGGGTATTCTGAGATAAGCAGAGTTAACCAGTGGTGCTGCTGCTTAGAGCAGGGTCCCAGCCTGCCTTTGGCTGTCATTTACCCTGGTGGCGTTTGTTGTCTCCCGAGTCCAGAGTGGCAGCAGTGGAATGATGCTTTCCCTCCCAGCCAGGTGCCAGGGGGCACTGCCAGGATCCAGCCATGGCTCAGGGAAGGGCTCTTACCCAGCTGCAGGGAGGGTGGTGGGAACCCAGGTGGTTAAAGGGTCTCACTGAGAGGGGAATGAGCACCAACAGGGGCTTTGTGGCCCAGGTTTAGGGCCAGAAGGGAGGGAGCCTGTGTGCCCTGCCCCGTGTGCCCTGCCCGTGGCTCAGAGGGGTTTGACATTCCCTGGCTGTGGTACAGCCAGGAGGCCCCAAATGCCTGCAAATAAGATCCTTTCCAGCCCTGGAGCAGGACGAGTCTCCTAATAACCCAGCAGAGAGCAGAGATCCTATTTCTAGCGCTGGCAGCTTTGCGTGTGGAGCTCTCAGCTGCTCTCCCTGACCTGTGTGGTTCTCTGCTCTCTGGCTCTGCCTGTCTAAAAGCTGAATGCTGGGCTGGGCTCAGCTGCAGCGTGGCTGCTGACCACCCTAGCTTTCCAAAGAGCAGCTGAGGAGCTCAGGCAGAGCCAGGCTGTGTCTGTGCCACTGCTGGGGGGGCTGGGGGTCCCTGGGGGCATTAGCTGTGCCAAGGGGGGCACTTGAACCAGGGGCAGGAGCTGACAAGTTTGTGAGCACCTAATACC